ATGTGCGAAGCTTTGCTTAGGTCTGCGCTCATGCTTGATGGCGTGGATGCACCTCGATCGCAGGGTTTCAGCCATACGATGCCTATAGAATGCCTTAACTTACTACAAGTAGAGTTCAAATCCTTTTCGACCTTATGGGTAAGTGTGCTGGCCCTCATGAGTCAAACGGGGTGCGCACGAGTGATACGCTTCCAGAGCAACTTGGCCACGTGCAGTTTACCTGGCATGTGCAAGCACCTGAGCCCAAGGACCCGGCCGAATGGCTTGAGTACCGGCACAGGCCATTTACAGTTCAGCCAAGTGCTTTTGCGCCAAAGCAGGGAAGCTCCAGGAGTAGAAGCAGAATTCTTGCTCTACTGCCAGGAATCTGCAGTGGCGAACGGGGCTTGCTAGCGGTGCCCACGGCGAGGCGCACGATTGTGTGATCCACATCGGGAGGTTTAACGGTCGTGTCTCGAGTTTGCTGACCCCGCCTTGCGAGACTCCCGGCATATGAGCCTCTCAGCAGAAAATATTGTCAAGGCAATCAAGGCAACTTAGCTTCAAAATGCCCTCTCATCATATGACTTCATGGTCAGGCAAGGGATCGGTTCTCCGTACCTTGACACCTATTTTGCCAAATCCGGCGTGGCTTTTCCCCGTGCACTGTTCATCAGCCTCCCCACCCACCTTTAGCTGTGCCACGCCTTACGTGCTCGAAGTGCAGAACCCTAAACCCTAAACCCTAAACCCTAAACCCTGAACCCTAAACCCTAAACCCTAAACCCTAAACCCTAAACCCTAAACCCTAAACCCTAAACCCTAAACCCTAAACCCTAATGGAACCCGAGCGCGCCCAATTAGCAAAGCAGACAGGTCTCCGACCTCGTCAGCGATGAGACCTCGGTGCCGCAGCCTGCAGATGTCCTGTCCTCGGTGAGCTGACTGGGGGTTTCCGAAAAGAAGGGACTCTATAGTCCCGTAAGGCACCCCTAATTTCGGAAACCCCACTAGTCTGGGGGCTCTATGGCAATCATGTTCCATCGGCACTGGGGGCTTTTGCCTGCGCGGCTTTAAGTTTTGAAGTTCGTCAGCTCACACTTCGCAGTCGGCGGCCAGAGAACATGCCAGTAGAGTATGCAATGACTTGAAGCCGAGTGGCATGTTGTTTCGTGCCACAAGAGGTGCAGCAGACCGTCTCTCGAAAACGGTCTGACTTGGGGACCACTCAAATGTCGCGCAACTTGGCAACACTTTGTATGTTGTGGCCAGAAGGACTTGCGAGGCTGAGAAGAGCCACTAAAAGAGTCTCAAAGTCACAGGAAGCTGTCTCGTACCACCTTGCGGTGAAGTAAAGGAATCCTTGGTGCATATTCTCCTGATTTCAGTAAACCCACACGCCTGCCTGCGAAACACCTGCGCGCTCGACTGTGGTTGTTGATCGACTTGTCTAGCTATGGTAGCAAGGACATGCAACAGATGCAACATCCTTCTGCTGCATGCAGAAAACAGTGATTGCCCTAAACCTCCTAAACCTCCTAAACCCTAAACCTCCTAAACCCTAAACCCTAAACCCTGATGGATGCTCAGGTTGCGCTTCGTGGCCGACCTTTGAGGCACGCTCGCCGAGGCACCCGCATAGCTCGAGCCGCTCTTAGATTTGATGGCGTAAAGCCCCACGAGGCTCTTTAAGATCTAGGGTTTCTTGCTAGACCATGGACCATAGCGGCTTACGTACCAGGTCCTACCGACCATGCGCCGAGCAGAAACTCCAAGCAGGAACCCAGACGTGTCAGACAAGACACACACACACACACACAGAATTTCTTCTTTTCGATGGGAGCTGCTGCCCGAGAGGCCGAGCCGTCCGCTCGCCCCAAATGCCTTTGGAGTTTTGCTTCGCAGCTTAACCTGTGGCGTGCATGCTGTCGGTCCCAGTTCCCAATTGGGTTCTGTGCTCTGCTGTTGCGAACAACGCGTCGAAACCCGTATGTGCAGTTCAATCTCAGATACTCGGAAGCACTCAGAACAATGGAGCGTGTGGGCTTCGGCTGATGCAACTCTACTTCCATCTTGCCCTGCCGTCTCGACAGGAAGATCTGGATGCTGAGTCCAGAGATGGAGTCGGATCTAAAGGCCTTTATGGGGATCATGCAGTCGAAAGCTCCATCAAGAAGGTTCACAATCGCACCAGGATCAACCAGAGCTATTGGTGCACTGAATCTGACACGTGCTAGTTGCTAGTAGCCATGAGTATGCACCTGGACCAGACCTTGTGATGAGCACAAGGCAGACTGTAGTGGGCCCTAGGCGAAGGTTTCGGAGTCGCTGCAATGTAGATGCTCACATGTCTGCAAGCGCCCAAAAAGTATAATCCACTGCAAGGCCAAAGATCCTCGGCTCTGGCAGCGCCTGCAGACACAGCTAGGGCTGGCGGTGTCGCTCGGACGCATTGCTCATGTGTTTTCATCATCCGGCCACTTGGAGCAGAGCTTGGGGATGTAGATGTTCATGTACAGGGCTTCGCTGCCTAAAGCGTGCTTGACGTCGTGGTATCCTAGTTACCGCATGTCTCAGACCAGCTCAGACCCTTTGCTTCCAACAAAAGCCAAAGCAGCGCTGAGGCAGGCAGTCACCCTGTTGCTGGTGGCCAAGGGCCCTGGACTGTTTGCCATTTGAGGAGATTGAAGGTTCCAGATTTTGAGGAGGAGCAGGCCCGCCGAAGCCTTCCAAGACACAGAGAAGCTTAGCCTCTGCACTCCCCAGCCGCCTCCCCACCCCCACGCTGCACCCCACACCCCACCCAACCCCCACCCACCAACCCAGGACTGCCGCCTTTCATTCTGAGTTTTGGATGGTCTCAATATATCCTACAACATACCGCGTGAATTTGCATTCTGGTCTCGAAAGTACCGTCTAAAATCATCGACACCCCCCCTCCCTGCTTCATGATCAGTTGTGATGTTCAGGCTGCTCTTGCTTTCAAAGCAACTAAAAACATCCTCATGCGGGGTGCCATGTGGCCTGTGCTCTTGAGTAGGAACAGGGGACAGATGTCACAGGGTTGCACGAGGGTGTTATGATCTGTGCAACATATATGGTCATCCCCAGGGCCAAGAGTGTATAGAGTGTAGGACCGTGGGAATCGATGTGCTTTCGGAACCCGTCTCATGCCGCGTTGGGCTAAGGTCGGCACCTACTCAGCGTGCCCCCTCACAGTGCTCCTGGGACTGCTTGAGCAGGATGCCATAATGGTAAGCTGATGGTTGGCGCGTTGGCCTGGGCTTGCGGCAAAAGCAACTTGGGGAAGTGGGATGAGGCTAAGAAACTCAATGTAAATACATGAGATCATGAGGGAGGGTGCCAAGGTAGGAACACCCGAGGGGCAATGGCAGTCATTTGGGCTCGAGGCGCTTCACCGTTCGTCACCATGGCCAGGGTCGCAAGACGTCAGCGTCAGGAATCTACGCTCACTGGTTTAGTGGGCGAACACCTTGAAACCCTAAACCCTAAACCCTAAACCCCAAACCCCAAACCCCAAACCCTAAACCCTAAACCCCAAAACCCTAAACCCTAAACCCTAAACCCTAAACCCTAAACCGCTTGCGTGTGCCAGACATCTTCGAGCCCAACTATCCTTCATCAGACTCATGGCCTCAGGTCGTGGGCAAAGATTGTGGGTTTTGCAGACGGCGTGGCGATCAAAGGCAGCGGGAGTAGTGGGCGTGCAAAGGTGAGGTGAATGTCAGGGAAGCGTTCGTACTTTGGTCCCGGAAAACCTGCCGCAAACACCACAAACCTGATAAAGCTCCCGCGAGAAATTTTGCAACCATTCGGAAGTGCAGCACGGTTTGCTACCAGATCAATCTAATTATATAGCGCTACTTAAGAGGTAATCCCAGAGTTAAAGACAGGCTGCAAGACAGGTCGAGCTTATTCAGATCCATGCACAAAATCCGTACTCTTGCTTAGGGCTAGCGTATTGCCTTGGAAGGAAAGGGTAGCGGGAAATAGGCGAGATACCTGTGCCTGAATGCAGCCTTCCCAAATCGGCCAACAGCTTGTGCTGCCTGAACCAAACTGGTGGCTTCGAGGGGACATCATGTCACTGCACCGATTGCAAGAATGAGCAACAACACAAGCGCAGCCCAGGACACAAACAGGCAACTCGTCGCATTTCGACAGCACTCCCGCTTGTGTTTGCCATCAGCTTTAGACGTTTGTCCAGGGCGTCCCTTTAAGGAGGGCTCCGTCATCGTGGCTGCTTGGATTGCGCATGGTACCTGAAGGTTGCAGATGCTTTAGAAGCGGCCGCTTTGAAGTCAGTCGCTTGGTACTAGCGGCTTCGGACTTTTCATTTCCAACATCACATCCTGCGCCACTTTCAGGGCGAGGGCAAGGCCTCAGCCTCACACTGCACCGTGAGCCCGATCATCAATCATCAACATATATGCACCGTATCTAGACTGCCCCCGGGTTGGTCGTGCTTCCCTATCAAGAATCATGGCAGCGCACTGACACAACGCACCAGCTGCTGGGTTGAACACGTAATGGAGGCTTTTATATGAGGACGCCCCCCCCCCCCCCCCCCCCCCCCCCCCCCCCCCCCCCACCCACGTGACAGAGCGGATCTCAATGATTGCAGGCATCTGCCGGCTTGAAATCTACGGGGTAACCACTGTAAGGCTACAAGTCGGAGCCACTGTAGCACCGAAGATGCATTCTTTCAAAGCCCGGAGCACCCTGTATCTATGAAATCCGTGTAGAGTAGGCCCAGAAGGAGTGTTGTGACTGTGTCCTTGCACTTCCTGGCCTCAAATGGCAGACTAAACTCCGACGCAAGAACGGCCCTACCACAGCTGTAACTTTCCACAACGAAAGTGTCTCCTTAGAAGTCCACATTTCAAGTTTGTAAACCTTGCAATGTATAAGATCCTATACACTCAATAGCTGGTTGTGACATGGAGGCTCTCGGTACGTCGATCATCAAGCCTCAGCTATGGCAGGGCCTGTCCGGTTGTAGGAAAGGGGCTCTAGTTTGAATATCAAAGCCTCCGAGGTGTGGTTGAGGTTCTGGGTTGGCCGGGTTTGTGGCGAGTTCGGTTCCGGTTTCGTCCGGATTGTCTGCTGGGAAGTAACTGTTCCATTTTTGGTGCGGATGTCAAAGCAGGGTTCCGGTCAGTTTGATTCGAGGTCAGTTCGGTTCCACCTGTCTTCCTGTCTTGAATCTGTTAAGGGACATAAGGAGGGTCCCCTTAGTCTCATTCCCCTATACAACCCCCAAACAACCCCTAAGGTTCCTTAGAAGGTCCCCTTGACTCTGAGGCCTCCTGGCTGCTAATCGCCACAGTGGGCTTGCTGCTCAGCGCTGCCACAGGCGGGCGGCGTCACGTGAGGCCAGCTGCGCAACTAGGAGGCCGTTTGAGCTTCTGTACCGAGGGCGTGCAACTAGTTGTGAAGACTTACAGCGGAACTCTATATAGCAAGATAAACGTCTTTGGAACCTTTCCGATGCCTCTTTACGTTTCTGCTGAAGCGAAAATCGTGGAACGTTCATGTAGAAGCACTAGAAGCAGTAACGCTTAGTGCGGCTGAGCCTGCTTTGAAGCTCTAGAGGGGCAGTGTGGCTGTTCTGCGAGCTGTGGATGGGGATCGGTCCAAGTGAAGAAGCGCAACAAACACTTAAAAACGCTAAATTGGGATGTTCCCCCTTGCATTAACAGTCCTCAACAGGGACTAAAATAACAGAAGGGTCTGCCATGGGGCCTGCGTTTTTACATACCAGCAACATTCGCAAAACATGCACCATGGAAAACGCCGGCTCCATGACAGGCCTCTGTCCGCAATAAGGGGGGCACCCGAATCCCAATTAAGGACTGGTAGGAGAAAAGGGGGGAACATCCCAAAAGCGTTCAGCCCCCCAAACCCTAAACCCTACAACCCCCTTCGGGGACGAAGAGCAAAGCCTGCAAGCAAGAAGGCGGTGCTTCGACTTCCGATCGATCATCACCTTCGCACCTGCGGGGATTGGCTGGGCAATGGCCGATGCTTGTGAGGCGTGCGGGCAGGTAGGCATGTAGGCATGTGGATGCACGAAAGGGTCTTCCACGGCAGGCCACAGAAGGTCCCTAAAACCACTGATGTGCGCAATCTGACTAGTCGCTTTGCCTCTTGCGCTACTTGCTTCATCTTGCTTACTTGCTTTGATTTGCTTTGCAAGTCGGAAGGGGGCGCGTCTTTTGCAGCTGGATGTGTGACAGTCTTCGATCCTAACCGTCATATCCCCCGTATGCTCTGCTCCTGGCAGTCCAAACCCGCGCGAGCCCCCCAAGCTACAAAGTTCAAACTGAAGCTACGCCAAGCTACTTGAAAGTCATAGAAATATCCCCGGTCTCGAAAAAAGACCGTCCTGAGCCCAGATCCCAAAGACTTCAGACTTAGTCTTGCCCTCAACTCAACACCCAGGCTTTGAAGCATCCCAAGACTGGCCACCCACCCGAAGCAGGTAATGGCTGTGGCGCGGATTGATCCTGCAACATATGGGGTGCTGAGCCAGGCACCGTCCTCAGTGGCTTTTGGGGTTTGGTGGTGTTGACCTTAAGGTCTCATGTCCGGCGTATTCCCTGGGTTTAAGGCTCGCAGTTCGGTTCAGCAGTTCGAGGCTCCGAGGGCCTCCGGCTTCGGTTGCGGACCTAAGTTGAGCCCAAGCCTGGCACGAGGCCATCGCTCCCCCCATCGCCCAAAGCTCAGAAATGCCCACAATCATGGCCCGGGGCTAGCATGGATTTCTTGGATCTTGGCGAGTGGCTCCCTTTCAAAACATGATCCATGACTCCTCTGCCCGTCCCCTCTCTCCCTCTTTGTCCGTCTCCCCGCGTCTCTGTCTTCCCGTTCCTTGAGTTCTTTGCCTGTGGGTATCTCCTTCACGCTGTCGTCTGCACTCCCTGGCCCTCTCGCTCGCCCTCCCTCTCTTCCGTTGCTCTCTTCCCCCCTCTCTCTCCCTCTCTCTTGCACTCTCGCTTGCGCTTCCGCCCGCGCCCGCCCCCGCTCTTTCGCTTCCTTGCTCTCTCGCTCGCTATTCCTTCCTTCCTTCCTTCCTTCCCTCCCTCCCTCCGTTCCTTCCTTCCTTCCTCCTTCCTTCCTTCCTTCCTGCGGCTTGCGAACATGCGGGATCCTCAGAACTGTTTAGGCGAGGCGTGTAGCAGTACATGCCACCCAAGAGCTTGGGGCCAGATGGTTGAGGAGGAGCTCAAGCCTGACATTCCCTTTTTTGCTAGCCCCTCGTTCACTGGATGAGATGGCACTGCACTTCCCTCCGGCGTCGATGAGGGGAGGGGCACCACAGGGGGTTTGCTGGAACTTGAGATCTGCCACCGACATGGGAGGAGGCACCTCAGCGGAGGTGCGCGCACTCACGGCAGAACAGGTCACGCGAGGTGTACCTGGAGGTCCGTCCCTATGTCAAGGCGATAGCAACCAACCAATTCCATCCAGAGATTCCATCCAGAGCGTGTACCCCCCCCCCCGGCCCCTTCCCCTTCAAGGGCGCGCTGCATGGGACAAAAGGCAAGTAGTGCCTGCACAAGCACAATGACTCACAGGCGGCGCACCACAGTCAACCAGCCGGGCCGACTACCCGGAGTTGCGTTAAGGCCTACCACCCAAGAGACTCAAGCGCGGCTTGCGTGCAGCTGAAAAAGAGCCCTAAACCCTTAACCCTAGAGAGCGGCCTGTCATGGGGCCTGCGTTTTCCATGGTGCATGTTTTGCGAATGTTGCGTGCACCCAGCATAAAAGTCGCGATTTTTCGTCGAAGCAACCCATGTCGACGATGTTATTGTGAGCAAAGCTTTTGGTTGAAGCCTGCTACACATGCTGAGTGGGATATGTTTCGTGAACCGAAGTGTTGGATGAACAGGAGTCCACATGCCAGAAGAGCGGGGGGGGGGGGGAAACATTTGTCGGACCCAGATCCTAAACCTTAGTCGTTTACGGTTTGGGCCAAAAAATATTTGTTGGACCCTACTCCTAAACCTTATTCGTTTAAGGTTTCGGCCGTATATTTTACTCGCTGAACCTCATGCCTGAAGCTTATTTGCTTAATACACAAGCCAAACCCTATTCCTAAACCTTATTCGTCCAAGATTTAGGGCCAAAAACCTTATTCGTCTAAGATTGACTGAATAAAATCAAAGTCTAGACGAAAAAAAACAATGCGTGAGCCGTCTCCTTAAGCAATGCCCACAAAGTTCAGGACTTGCCTCCTGTGGAATGCAAAGAGCATGGAGAATAACTGCCCACTTTGAGTATGTACATACGGTGTATGTATTGTATGCAAAAGGTAGAAATTCTACCCACTCAAATAGAGAAAATGGAGATGCGAAGAACTCCTAGGAAGTGTTTGAGGGCATAGGGTGATGCGAAGAAATACAGTATATGCACGTCTCAGGGAAGCGAGAATACTGTGAGCAAATACCCTTTGACTATGCGCTTGCCCAACAGCCCGACTTACTCGCAAGTAATTATGTGGGTTTTCATCTCAATATATCTCAAAGGGTCTCCAAAAGAGTACCCATTTCTCAAGGATAAGACTCACACGTAAACTATCCTCAAGAATCACAAGCAAGCAACTCATAAACCCTACTCTGTCAAGGTTTAGATTTCTAAGCAACTTATTCGATTAAGACCTAGGGTCAGACGCTATTCCAATATATTTATTATGCATGCTTGTTTAAGGTTTAGGGACATACATACCTTGTTCCCAAACCTATTCCTTTAACATCTGGGGATGTTGTGCCAGACAAGTAGGTTTATTTGGTCCAGATTCCCAAACCGCGCACCTGGGCGTTGTGGGAGATGGGACAAGGGGAGACTCTTGGGCTAATAGCTTGATTCTTGAACCCTACTTGCTGAACCCTATGCCTATGCCTGAAGCTTTTTCGTTTCATGCTTCTTGCCAAACCCTATTCCTAAACCTTATTCGTTTAAGACCTAGACCTTATCCGTTTAAGATTTAGTGAATAAAATTAGTGTTCAGGGGAACGTTTCGCCGAAGCAAGCGAGTAAGAACGTTGATGCTCGATGCTTGAATCCGCGGAAGGGAGGGGGGGAGGGCGGGGGGGGGGGGGGGGGGGGGGGGGGGGGGGGGGAGGGCTCAGCTCAACACCCAAGACCCTCCCCCCACCCGCCACCCCCACCTCCCACCCCCACCCAACCCCGCCCAAAGATTGATATGTTTATAAACACCCAGCCTGTTTATAAACACAGGACGTGCAACCCCGCCCAAAGATTTATATGTTTATAAACACCCAGCCTGTTTATACACACAGGACGTGCGACCCCACCCAAAGATTTATGTGTTTATAAACACCCAGCCTGTGTATAAACACCCGGCCTGTTTGTAAACACCCGGCCTGTTTGTAAACACAGGATGTGTTTACAACGCTTGGCTTCCTAATGCGTCACAAGCACACACACACACACACCCACCACCTAGTATTCAGGGTAAACACGCAGCCGAGCCAAAACCAAGAGAAAAACACACACGCACAGGCATCCTTTCTCAAACCTAAACCCCCAAACCTCGTAGTTAGGGAAGAGGTTTACTGGGGGATGGACGGGGGTTAGGATGCAGGGTTTGGGGCTTAGGGTCATTAAGGTTGAAAACCCACCTAAGCCGATACACCCTGCGACTCTCGGACTGTCGTTTTCAGCCGAACTTATAAGCAGTCTGACTGCTTATAAGCAGAAGGCTTGCTTATAATTAAGCAGCTGGACCCATCGGAAGCATAGCATAAGATATATTATACAATAATTAGTCATGTTTACATAGACCCCAAACCCAACCCAAAAGAGCAGTCGCAGGGAGTTGTCCGAGTGCGTCACCTGCAGCGGAAACCAAAAAAACCAAGAAAACCAAAAAAACCAAAAGAACCAAAAAAACCAAAAAAACCAAGGATTTTCACACTACTCCGAAGGTTTCAGAGTAGTGTGGAAATCCTTGGTTTTTTTGGTTTTTTTGGTTTTTTTGGTTCTTTTGGTTTTTTTGGTTCTTTTGGTTTCTTTGGTTTGTTTGGCTTTGTAGAAGGCGCATAAGGCGCGTGCTGGTGTAACGACGGGTTACATGAATTCATAAGGGCCTTCCGAAGCATGCAAGCAACCCTGAAAATATGCCAAAAAAAACCCAGGCCCCATGACAGGCCCTTCTGTAACCCTAAACCCTAAACCCTAAACCCTAAACCCTAAACCCTAAACCCTAAACCCTAAACCCTAAACCCTAAACCCTAAACCCTAAACCCTAAACGCAGCTCTGCCCTGTCGAGTCAGGGCCGCCTTCTCTCGAGCGCAGCAGCTGCATGGCTTTTCTGCGGGCTGCAGCAGAGCGGCCTCCAGTGGGGTCCCTTGGCTTGTCGTGTCGTGGTGCTGTCGTGTCAAGATTCATGTTGGATTGGGTTCCTGCATCAATTGGTTGTAAGACTTGCAGTTTTATATGACTTGATGAGAGTCACTTTGAAAGACCCGAGCTGATGAAGATGGTAGAGCCCAAACTTTCTGGCCCCAAGCCTTTCCACTTGAAGCTTGGCTATTCCTGCTATGCTGGCAGGCTTGCTCTCACCGTAAGTTTCAGGGATCCTGCCGAGTTCAAAGCGAAATGGCTTTTTTTCGAATTAGACGATGAGTAGTTTACACAAGCAAACAAACTGAAGACTTTGCTGTTTGTAGTCTGTTGGCGGACGGGCATTCCTCGTTCTTGAAATGTCTAGTTTTCGCTACAGCACCATCGGCAGTGCATCGGCAGCGTCGCATGCAGCAGCAGCAGCTCAGGGAACCATCTTCCCTGATGCATTGCACATCTGACAGGTCAGATTCGTGTGTTCGACGGAAGTAGCTGAGAGAAGCTAGACCCCAAGCCGTGCGAATTCGACTTCTTCGGAAAATTCGGTCTTTGCTCTGTGTGCAGGTATCCTGGCCTGTCTCTCCTGCATTTGCATGGCTTATTGCGCCGGAGCTGCAACACAGTCAGCCACTCATAGAGCCCCCCTCATGGTTTTCGTCTGAATGCTGTGAAGTGGGGATTCTGTTGATGGAACGATGCTTGCGGCTGACAGCCTTCAACCAAACTACTTGCTCTTGGACTCTATTGGCGATCTCCTAAATTGTTTACAAGACAATCCAATGGCCGCATAGACGTTCATGTCGCAGCGCTTCAAAAATGTCATGTCGTGAGCACAGTAGACTTCGCAAACCGTGGGACAGGTCCAACAGAGAACTGCTTGTCCGACGTTTCCGACAGGCCTCACTCCCGACCAGTCCCAGCCGAACGCAGAGCGCCTCTTCGAGTGGCGGTTGCATCACGAGAGCGTCCAGATCACGGCGACTCGAAATGCATCGAAGCGTGCATTGTAAGTCTGTTTGAGGCGTCCTGGGCAGGTTCAGTGTTACTTGTGGCAAGGCTCCAGGCAGGATTGTCACCGGTGGGATCACCAATGAGTGCCGAAGCTCTTGAGAGGCGAGCAGGTGTGTCTCGCTACGCTACTGAGTGCCTGTAAAGCCAGGATGCCTCAATTCCCCTACACAACTTTAATGTGGCTGCACGAAGGGTCCAGTAAGGGCCGTCACAGTCACAGCGAAGTAACTATGTGTCCCTTGCCTTGCGCAGTTCACGCGCCACTCCCCCATGTTGGAAGATGAGGCACAGGAGCTCGCACGTCGTTCGGGGAGCTTATTGGGCTGTCGGATTGCTAGTTCAGTTGTTGCAGACCTCACGCGTTCCTTTGCTGCCCCAATCAGGCCCTTGAACCCCAGACTTGACACTGGCTTCGCTTTGTCAGTGCTAGCGATAGTCGCTCTTCCCAGGCTCTTCAGCCCTTTTTTTGAGAGGTGGAACGATAAGGGGGGGCAGATTGCGAGGTGCTTGGAAGATGTCCAGCCCCGTGGAGCGAGTCGTAAGCTTTCCTTCCGACTGTCTCGCATATGCTAGACGCTTAGTTTCTAAAGTTGCTAGAAACACGCGAAACATCGTATTCTGCACATGCGCTGGTAGTGTCGATAGTGTAACTACATAAACCCACCCTTTTATTTATATGCTCATCTATATCTTGATATAAGCGTGCATATCAATGTATATGCAAACGTATATGTATGTATGTATGTATGTATGTATGTATGTATGTATGTATGTATGTATGTATGTATGTATGTATGTATGTATGTATGTATGTATGTATGTATGTATGTATGTATGTATGTATGTATATATGTGCAGATATATGTACAGATATAATATAGATAGCAGTATGTGTACATACACATATGTATAGCTCTGGGTTCACAGTTTTGTTCTTCAACTATGAGCTGTTCAACATACAAGCATAAAACACATATATGTACGTAAGGCTAAAAAATATGTGTACAGATTTATTTGTTTAGTTATGCATGTGACCCCTATGCGACAAGTCACCTGTCAGCCACATATGCTTTCTACAAGACAAGAAAATGAAAGACCTTCAAAACCCAGAGCACTCCGGCTACAAGAGGATCTTGCGATTTTTCTGTCATTAGGCAGGAATGTTACGACGAAAGCAGCTCAGAACATCAACCGCTTCCAGCACACAACGCATTTCTACGACATTCCTCTGCGACCAAGAGTCTAGAGAAGCACCACCATGTGAGGCAATCTCAGCCAAGCAAACTCCCCGCCTGCTCCTGCCGTAGTTGATGCCGTTACTTGCCGAAAGCTACGCGCCTGCCGTCCAGGAGCAACTTGTGGGGGCGCTCTTCGCCATGTGTAAGGCGCAACGACAAGCTGTGGGAAGTTGTGAAACCGATCAGCTCATGTTCAACTGTTGCCGCCGGACTTGAGGCTTTCTGGGTCATGACTTTCCTTGTGCTTATATTGCGTTCTTCTGGTGTCCAAACCAGCAGAAGTCGGTTCCTGGCTGTCGTAGACAACGGACTTCGTTCTCTGCCGCTGGTGCACGTTTGCGTATCATGCTGCAGCATCTTGTGAGGTAATGCTCTCAGTGCTCAGTTCCGCCACCTGGCCAGAGACTGCTGACTTTCTCACTCCAGGTTCAGCCTGGCAACCCCTGAGTAACTAACGATGACTGACAATCATGCGTGTGATTCTGCTTCTGCTTCAGTCATCGGCAACTACAGGTCTTCGATGTATCCACCTGCGCAGCAGTTTCTGTCTTGCAGCCATCCAACCTATACAACTGCCATGCCCGGAGTGTAGGTAGGTGCCTAGTCATTCTCTTCCTATGATACTCTGTCATCGTCCTGCTTCTGCTAGAAAGATGTACAGCTCAGCAGGAGGATTCTACTGAAATGGTGGCGGCTGATTGCGGACGTGGCTCTTTCTCAGGGCCTTTAAAAAAGCCGCGAGGGGGTTTAGGGTTTAAGGTTTAGGGTTTAGGGTTTAGGGTTTAGGGTTTAGGGTTTAGGGTGGACTTCTGTGTTGGCTCGAAGAAGCTCCCTCCCCCATCTCTTTCCCTCCCCACCTTGCTCGTGCCAGGAGCGTGCGTTAAGCTCTTTTGGGCTCCAAGTGGGAAGCGATGTCTTCATATGTCTTCAACCTGCATAGTGGACTTGGACTTTGAACCTCATGACGAGTCGTTTCGAGCCATCCCAGAATCTGCACAGTAATACGCAAGCCTCAAGTTGTGGAGCCTCAGGTCTACGTGGAGATGTGTTTCAAGTCCGGCGCCGGCGAGCCCACGCGGCTCCACGTTCAGATGACGCAGGCGGCCGACATCAACAAACATCCAGTGGGGTTTAGGGTTTAGGGTTTAGGGTTGAGAGAGGCCATGATACAGGCTGATGCAAGATGACTCTAGCTTGCTGGACGTTGCTGTCGTTTCGACTCCGAACATTTGCTGAGCGGCAGTGAATGGCCATGCGCATAAGGTCTCTTTCAGCAGCATCATCGCAGCCACGACCGCATACCTTTTCATATGCGGGGTGCAGAACGAAGATCCGACCCAATTTTTTAGCGTCTCGGCTGCAGAACTTTCCAGCTGCGCATTTCGCATTGTCATTTAGTTGCTGAGTTCTTAATTGATATTTGTAAATCAGCATTCGCAACTTTCCCATATGTTGTGGTTACCTTTAGAGGTTGTACTTGGTGTTAAGGGTATTGCAATTAGAAGTGCATGTATTCCATTCCGTTGTTTTTTGAAGCGGTTGGGGTTTTTTTAGGTATTTGATGTTAGTGGTTGGTTCACTAGGTTGGTTTTTTTAATGGTCATACTACTGTGGAATGTCGATTTGGTGGTGGTACTGTTGTCCATGTGCCAAAACACCATCTGCAAATGCTTCTACTCGACTTCTGGGACAATATAGTGATCCATTGTCCACACAGGGGCGACGAAGGAAGCAAGTTAAGTTTGGAGACTTTGGTTCAAAACATTTAAGTTTTACGCACGCGTTCTCAGAAACGTATGCAAACCTTTTTGAGACAAGATCTATCTTATGCTTCAGGATGAAGCAAGACAAGTGTGGTACATAACATGCCATGAAAGAAAGACAAGATAAGTTTTTCAAAGTTGTCCGGCAACAAGTGGCCGAGTCCTTGGGGCTGATGTGCCCCCTTTTGAACTACTGCCTCGTGGCTAGATGTTTTGAGAGTAGTATTGTCATTATTATGAATATGATTGTTATTATGCGTATTAGTATTCTTATTATTGTTATTATCATTAGTGTTATTCTTACCGTCGCTGTGCAACCGTGGGCTGTTCGCAGGCGCAGATAACTCATTCCGAAATTGGTCCTTGCACGGTTTCCTTGTGCAGCGTCACTGTCCTTGCCTGAGTCATCGCAGCTGAAGAGATGCTTAGGCGGGCAGGACGGATCGTGGTCGAGACGGACCTTGATCGTGGCTGCAATGTATTGCTGGCGGGAGTGGATATGCAGCTACTTGTTCTTGAACTTTGTGCTCGATATGACAATAAGCCTGCACCAGCTTGCAGCATGCACTTGTGCAGGTCCTCATCTCATGAGCAGCGTTCATTCCTTACACTAGGGCACTCAAATCCTCCTAAACCCTAAACCCTAAACCCTAAACCCTAAACCCTAAACCCTAAACCCTAAACCCTAAACCCTAAACCCTAAACCCTAAATGCATCAAGAGATCTTGGCGAGCGGACACTCTGAGGCATGATCAGACCCATCATCAAGCTTGCAAGAAGTACACGCCGTGTCTACCCTAAACCCCAAACCCTAAACCCTATAAAGTAGGGTTAGAGCTTATTAGACATGAGGATCCTCATAGACCCCAAACCCTAAACCCTATCAACTGGGGTTAGGGCTTATTAGGCATGAGGATCCTCATGGTCATGGTGGGAACACTGCCGACACTCCCATGGACACCTGTCGCTCACGAGGAATGCAGCCATGCACAGGTGCGATTTACGATCCCATGTCCCTGGCACATTTTCTCCATTGATCAGAAGAACCGTGAGCTCACCGAAACAAGCTCCAAACGCGTGACCATTGTCACACTCATCGCATGCTAGAAGCTGAGGCTTGTGCGTCAAGCACTTCGACTCCTTGGTCAAGCATCTTGCCTTTCTCCGTGAAGACTAAATCTTCTAAAGGCTGAGCTGCTCAGTATTCACGCCTGGTTGTTTCAGTTATGAACCGGCCAGCTTTCAGTTCGGAGGTTACCAAAGAGGGATGGCGAACGGGACCACACACCCAACAATGAGCAGGCCCTTCTGGCCTTGAACCGAAAAACTTCCAGAGCTGGCGCACGAAAGCTGCAAAAATTCGTGGGAGACCAGTGGCCGCCAGAAGGCCGATGCCTGTGGACATCCAGAACAGATCATACACCAGGGTTTAGGGTTTGGGGTTTAGGGTTTAGGGTTTAGGGTTTAGGGTTTAGGGTTTGGGATGTTGGGTTTAGGCTTTAGGGTTTAGGGTATGGCATACTGTAGCTATATCTCGAAACAGATATCAATCCATGACTCCATGACTTCGACTCCCACTGCTTTCTCAACAGTTGTCCATGTCCATTTGGGGGTTTACGACAATAATGAGGGACCCCGAATATAAACCCCCCAATACTAGGATTCCCTCATCATAAGGAACCCAACAAAATACCCCCCAATATCGTAAATCACCACTTCTTGTTGTCTTGAGGAACATCTGCAATGCTGTCTCCTTGGTTGTGACGTACGGCTTTACCGTGCTGGTGGCTCACGAGAAGGACTTCTCCATTCTGAAGGCATCGACAGAACCAGCATTCAGAGTTCCAGCCGCTCATTTTGGGAGCTTGAAACATGGGAGTTGCAAGTGACGAACAGAACATAGGCCTTGACTCTATTCGAAGCACACGAGAGGTTGCCATGAGTTGCCTGATCTTGCGGGTAGCCATGCCGCCCTGGACCAAATGTGTTCGCAAGACTTTCTCGCACTTGTGCACTCGCTACCAAGTCGCCAAGAATCTGCGCAGAAACCCATTCTCGCAGGCTTTTCTGCTGCTGGCCATTGTCATGGAGGTGGCTTTTGATTTCAGCAAAGTGCAGGGCAGACATCACGGTTGTACCCGTTCACTCTGCCCGCCGCTCCAGTCGACCTCTGCCCTGAAAGCTCCTCAAGCTCTCACCCGGCTGGGTCTTCGCGTTTGCATGCATGGATGCTCTGGTGAGAGAGTGTCTGTGAAGATGCTGTGTAATTGTGGTTGATGCCTGCTTGCTGCCTGCTTGCTGCCTGCTTGCTGCCTGCTTGCTGCCTGCTTGCTGCCTGCTTGCTGCCTGCTTGCTGCCTGCTTGCTGCCTGCTTGCTGCCTGCTTGCTGCCTGCTTGCTGCCTGCTTGCTGCCTGCATGCTGCCTGCATGCTGCCTGCTTGCTGCCTGCTTGCTGCCTGCTTGCTGCCTGCTTGCTGCCTGCTTGCTGCCTGCTTGCTGCCTGCTTGCTGCCTGCTTGCTGCCTGCTTGCTGCCTGCTTGCTGCCTGCTTGCTGCCTGCTTGCTGCCTGCTTGCTGCCTGCTTGCTGCCTGCTTGCTGCCTGCTTGCTTCCTGCTTGCTGCCTGCTTGCTGCCTGCTTGCTGCCTGCTTGCTGCCTGCTTGCTGCCTGCTTGCTGCCTGCTTGCTGCCTGCTTGCTGACTGCTTGCTGCCTGCTTGCTGCCTGCTTGCTGCCTGCTTGCTGCCTGCTTGCTGCCTGCTTGCTGCCTGCTTGCTGCCTGCTTGCTGCCTGCTTGCTGCCGTTGCTGCTGTTGTTGCTGCTTGTGTACGGGTGAGGCCTGTTGTTTTTGATGCTGCTGCTGCTGCTGTGGCTGCGGCATGCTTTGTCTTCTGCTATGAGGGACATCATCCAACACAATACAATCTCTGAACCCCAAACCCTCCCCGATCCTGCATGTAGGGTCCTCCCAGACAGGGTTCGGGATTGGGGAAACCAAAAGGGGAAAAGAGGGCCCCACCCTTCAGGTGACGTGCCAGCAATGCTTTACCTATATGGAACGTCTCATGCCCTGAGCCATGCAACTCTGTGAGCCCACGGCTTTGATCTCATGAACCTGCCGCTATACAAGGTTCTGCTAGTTCATGATGATCACCAAAATGTGGCCCAGTTGGGTAAGTTTGTAACGGTTCAAGACTTGACATAGCATGTGCCCACCCACTGCTCAAGAGATCAGTTTGGCTGGGACTGCCCAGGGACTGCCCTGCACTTCAGTCAGACACCTCATGACGCTCCCAGTTGATGTCAGAATCTCGTGCTGCGGACCTGAAGATCAGGCAGTTGCTGAATTTGCTGAGCTGCTGCTGCTGTGCTGCAGAGTACGTTGGCTACCGAAAAACATGAGCGGCTGGATTCATAAGCTGTGTTTGTATTCTTGGATGCTGCGGTTACAAAGTGTCTGGTACGCTGTTGTATACGGGTCAGGCCTGTTGTCTTTGATGCTGCTGCTGTGGCTGCTGCATGTGTTGTCTTCTGCTATGAGGGACATCATCCGACACGTCATTTGTCTTTTCACAAACTCGCCCAAGTCCTGCCTCCGAGGCCGGGATCGGGATTCGGGTAACCCAAATGGGAAAAAGAGGAAGTGTACACATTCACCTTGCAGCTTAAGCCACATCGCAGTGGCCATGCAAGTCTTCGCACAAGAGTGCCAGCAAGGCTGTACATGATGACATGTGCCGAAGCTCTCATGCCCTGGGCCATGTGAGGTCGCAGTTTCCGTAAGCAGACGTGAGAGCCTGACAGGTCATCAACTACTGCTACACACGGCGGGTCGTGTCAGCCAAGCAGGCAAGTGAGGAAGCCCTGCGACTGCGCGTTTCCTCCCAGCGGTTGTTGATGCTAAGATTTCCGTTCGCGTGAGATCTCAGTTGACAGGCGTTTGCAAACAAAGCCAAGCCTTAAGCTTAACTACGACCTAACATACTTTGTTGACGGTGGCGTAGCACATTGAAAGTCCAGCTTTGCCCGCTCCAACGAACACATCTCAACATTCAGTCGTTGCAGCTCCCCAGGAGATCCCAGTTGCCGAGTACTCGAACATGTACGTTGCTGGGCCCGCGGCAAAAGTTGAGCTGACGTACGAGTAGGATGCGGGCCGAGACATTCGGGTGTGCCGCATTTTTGCCGATTCTGACATCCATTTGGCAACGATGCAGGCCCACAGATGTGGGCAGTGGGCACAGGCCAATGACCGTCATGAAGATCGTAATCGCATCGTAGCCTGGCTCTCCATGTTAGCCAAATGTCAGATTCTCTTTCAAGAGAGAGAGAGAGAGAGCTCTTTTCCACGGTGCACGATGTAGGTGATGAGTCGCAACTCGGGGACGCAAATCAATCAAGTGCTCAGCAGCCTGTGCTATTTACTACTTTCCACTTGCCATTGTCATATTGGGGGGTTGCCGAAAATGGGGTACCCTTTTTGGGGGGTTCCTATGATAAGAGTTATAGTATTTGGGGGTATAGTAGGGGGACCCCCCTCATTTTTGGAAACCCCCCCCAAATATCTCAGCTGTCTTTAGAGTCCTTTTGCTTCCTCGAGTCTTCATCATTACGGTAGTTCCCGGCTGAGTTCCGCGCCTGCTGGACCCTGGGCCCACCTTGCTTCGTTCGTCCCATGTGCAGGGTTTAGGGTTTCGGGTTTAGGGTTTCGGGTTCAGGGTTTAGGGTTGAGGGTTGAGGGTTTAGGGTTTAGAGTTTAGGGTTTAGAAGGGTTCTGAATCGGCAGGCTTTCGCAAAAAGACAAGGTGTCGTCCCCGGCAGCTCGTTATGGGTTCGTGCGGCGCATGTGCTGGCACCGCTCGAAAGGGCGTGCCACAAGCTTGTGCTGTCCAGAACGGCATGTAGCTTTTCCAGAGGTATACTCCAAGACCCTCCTCGAAGCGACTCTTAGTGTGAAGGGTCTCGGAGTTTAGTGATGGGTTCTAGAAGACACCGCTGCTGGCTGCAAGATACCTGCAGTGCTCTTGGCCGCATAGGCACTCCAAGTACTGCACGCGTCTACTGTGACATGCAAACCTCATCGACCAGAACCGACAGCAAAGCCAGCAAGCAAATTCGCATGAGTTTTGCCACCCAAGACATGGCAGAAGCACCAAAAAGTTGAAATTCATGTTAGTATAAGAGTACATTGTTACTATCATTTTTATTATGATGACTATTATTGTTTCAATATTATTCTTATTCTTATTCTTGTTGTTATTCTTTCTTCTTATCCTTATGATTGTTATTATGATTGTTATTTGTATTGTAAGTATTATTGTCGCACGCGGTGCAAAACCCTTCCTTGCGCAAACAGCTTCAGGGACTCATCAAGATTCATAAAATGTCATATGTGCCAGGCGTTCAGGATCCAAAAACATCGAATCATGAGTGGATGTCTTGGCTAGTTAGGCAAGTTGCGGTGATTGCAATGAGACACTTGCATCATGCCACACCTTTTGAGCTACCTATGTAAGCGGTCTTGTTTTGCTTCGGTTCGCGTCATGGACCCGATACTCCAGTGTTGCTCAAAAGCATCATCATGTCACAGTGTTGATCCGCCAGGGTTTTCAGGGCTC